TGTGTAGTCTGCCAGGAAGCCATTATCTCTGTTCAACCCATTGCTGATGGACCGTAGGCTGTGGATAAATTCCAATTCTGCTGTTTCTCTTTCCAATCTTCCTTTGCTGTTCTTTTGTTCAAGGATCGCTAGAAGTTGCACATAGCCACAGGCTTGGCAGAAACAGGTAGGTCTCACTTGTCAATATATAAAGGCAGGAATCTCATCAGTGATATGGACATATACGTCTTTTTGTGGATGGGGGTAAGAAGTAGGGTTGCCAGGTCAGGACTCTTCCCAGGCCCTGAGATTTCAGGAACAAAACCTCATGCCCTGGGATGACCTCTTCTCACAATTATCATTGGGGGGACCTTGAGGATGCCACAAAGGTGATATGACAAGGCATCAACCATAGTTGCACAAAGCATCAACCACAGTTGCACAAAACATTAACCATAGTTGCACAAAGCATCAACCACAATTGCACAAAGCATCAACCATAGTTGCACAAAGCATCAACCATAGTTGCACAAAGTATCAGGAGTGTAGCTACAGAGGGGTCAAAATGAGAGCATTATTACCACCACCATCAGCCCCAAGCATTCTGCCTCCTTCTGAAATTTTCCTCTAGTCCTCACATTTCTGAGCCGCTCCAGCCGCCTACTGACACTAAATCAGAATGGCCATCCAAAGACACCCAAGACAGCCATTTAGGAAGCTATAAAACAAGAAAAAATTGTATCAAAACACTACGTATCAGCACGTTCCAAAAGAATCAAGCCAATACATGTTTCACTCTGTAAGAATTAATTCAATACATTTTTATAGCAGGAAATAAAACAAGGTTTTCTGTGGGAGAGGCATTGAAAGCAGGCTTTCCAAATCTTGGCGCCTGGACTCCTCCCCAGTCACCAGAGGAATCTCAGAGCAAGAGAGCAGCCTTGAAAAGTGAGTATATGCATATTACCCTCATTTGTCATTATGTTTTTCCTGGCACAATTTGTTCAGAGAAGGTTTGCCGTTGCCTTCCTCTGAGGCCGAGACAGTGTGACTTGCCCAAGCTCACCCAGTGGGTTTCCATGGCCAAGCTGGGATTTCAGAGGAAGGGACTGGCAAAACCACTTCTGAGTATGACTTGTCTAAGAAAACCCTATGAAATTCACAGAGTTGCCATAAGTCAGACAGGTAACCTGAAGGCACATATAATAATAATAATAATAATAATAATAATAATTTATATATATATTTATATATCCCGCCTCTCCCTGCACACACAGACCCAACCAATTACTTATCATATTACGCTTATTGCACATTATATTCATCAATATACTTTAACATAATTTCTCTAGTAAATGCAACAACATTTTTGAACTAAAGTCCATAAACATAGCATCTCAATATCATACTCCATGAAATCACCAGAGGCCATTGCCTGTAGCATCAGCAGAGTCTAAGTTTGAGAGTCAGGCCCTGGGATTTGGATGCTAAAATTGACCAAAATTTGGCCTTAGGACAGATCTGACAAGGCAGGCCTAGCAAAACCACATGCTGTAATTCTGTTCCAAAAAGTGGAGCTGAAGTTTCAAACCAGGAGACCAGCACTAACACATACAGGCAATGAGCACAAAGTTAACATCTGCAGTCAGAGGGTCATGTTTGTCATGCAAGGCGGTCTTCTCGCTTGAGAAAGGAACCCTTCTGAGCAATTTTGAAGCAAAAACAAGACGCCGCAGAAAGACGAGGATGGAGTAATAGGATCCTATTTACTAGCGCTAAGAATCAATCTTTTTAGATGAATCTCCTGAAGGGAAAGATGTAAGTGGATCAATAGTTGGTTACAGAGAAGGACCATAACACCGTGGAGGGCGAGAAACCAAAAAAGATGCTAAAACGCTCAGCCACCAATCTCTCAAAGAATCAGAATCAGAGAGTTAAAAGAGACCCCCAAGGGCCATCCAGTCCACCCCATTCTGCCATGCAGGAATACACAATCAAAGCCTCTCAACAGACGGCCATCCATCCTCTATTTAAAAACCTCCAAAGGAGGAGACTCCACCACTCTCCAAAGCAGCATCTTCTCCTGTCAAACTTTTATTACCATCAGGAAGTTCCTCGTACTGTTTAGGTGGCATCTCTTTTCCGTTTGCAAAAGCAAACTGCTGCAAGCCTTTTCTGACTTGGTCTGTTCTTCCTCATTAATAACGTTTGCCATCTTGACCACATTCAGATGTTGCCTGGCCATACATCGCCCAGGTTTCATATGTGAAATGTTGGAAGGTACAGCCAGGGTGGCGTAGTGGTTTGAATGTTGGATTATGACTTTAGAGACCAAGGTTTCAATTCCTGGCTCGGCCATTGGGTGACCTTGGCCAAGTCACACTCTCTCAGCCTCAGGAGAAGGCAAAGGCAGCAGTTTTCTGAACAAATCTTGCCAAGAAAGATAGATTCACCTTAGGGTCACCATAAGTCGGAAACAAATTGAAGGCGCACAACAACCACCAACAGTAAAGCGCCGTTCCCACATTTGATGCCCCAAAGTGTGTTAAGACAGCAAGTGCAAGTTGGGGAGGGAATTGCAAAGTATAAATAGAAATTAGAGGGATAAAATGTCCTCAAAATGGCTAGGACTAAACAAGGAAAAACCCACCCAAAATGGCAGCCACAAGGACAGACTCTCGAAACCATTTAGCAACAACAAGCTAATGCAGCATTCAACTAATTCTTGAACACCCACAATTAGGAGCATCATGCGATTTTCTGCATCATATCTGCCAAATTGTTTTGCGCCGCCGGTGGGAGCCTGAGCATCTCATGCAGCTCATCGGTTTTACTGTTCCTCTCTAGGAGAGGGTGGGAAGGAGCAAAACGTTGTTATATCCAATGTCTGGGGGGCAATGTGCAAGCAATAGAAGAAAGAAGTTGTCGAAAGTAATTGTTCCTTGTCATGCAAATTTCATCAAAGCCCCCGCTGCCTGGATATGATCTGTGCAACAAGGGGCAGGTTTGGGTCCCTTTGAAGAATTAGGTCATTGGTAACTTGAGGGTTTTGGAGGATGTGTCACTGGACGACAACAACAGCAGCACAAAGCCTCAGATGCTCAGGATAATATTGGGAATGCAAGTTCCAGCCAAGCCGAATAGGTTAGTCGACTGTAGGTAGTGGAAAGAGAGAAAGGAGAGGAGAGAAGGCAGAAAATGAGCTTTTGATTATTCCTTCCCAGCCCCCCGCGGTCCTCTGATCAGCAAAAGACAGTCAACTGCACACGGATGGATACGCACAGAACATTGTCTTCCTTCATGGTTGGCATAACACTGATAGATGCAAATCCACACGCTTCGCAAACAGTAATTTTTAAAAGGAAATGTCTTTGCAGGTACTATGGGAGTTCAGCACCTCCCGTCTCTTCCTCTAACCACACCAAGCACCATCCTTTCTGTCTGCAGATCTATCTGCTCTTGGGGAATATAATCCAGAGGCAGCGTGGTGAAGTTGGTTAGAGCAGTGATTCCCAAACTTTGGTCGTCCGGGTGTTTCGGACATTGACTCCCAGAAGCCCCAGACAGCTTGGCCAACGGTCAGAAATTCTGGGAGCCGAAGTCCAAAACATTTGGAGGACCAAAGTTTGGGAATCATTGGGTAGTTAGAGTATAGGAGAAGGGTTTGGGAAATCCAGACCCAAGCCCCCAGCGAGGGCTAGTCTTCACAATTAAAATACTCCTCATTTGTGTTGAATAAAATGCAATCCAGCCTCACGCGATAAGCAGGCATTTTGAAAAACTCCTTAAACTCTGCAAATACTTTTTTTTTCCCCCAGGAGTATTCGCTGAAATCCACAGAAATGCACATTATCACGCGTGTGGGCATCTGTCTGCTTCTTATGCATTCAAATGGCTGAGCATTTTCGGCAGAGGGAAGGTGAATAGATGCAATTTTGCACAGGAAAGCCAAGTCAATTGACATGTGAAAATGCGCACCAATTCACATAATACACTTACATGGAGACTAGCCCTGAGTGTTAAGTAGCTAGAAAAAACTGTTTTTAGCTCTGGTCTGCCACTGCTGTTGCAGCCCAAAAAAATGCATGCACATTTTTTTAAAGCACACAAAAATACATGCACATAAAAAGTTGCACGCACATTTCTTTTAAAGCAATGTCCTTCTTCAAGTGCAAACTGGCATGTAGGGAGCAAGTTCTGTAAGTTGCACGCTTTGACTTCTCTGTTTATGGCAAAGGATGGGCAATTGTGGCGGGTCTTTGCACACTTCTGGTTTACTCACTAGTTCCTTGGGCAGAATCTGATTCTAGTGAGTAAAGATGCAAGAGCCAGTGTGCTGTGATATTTACACACTTGTGCTGAAATTTATGAGATCCAGGCTCAAAACCCCACTGAGCCATAAAACTCACTAGATAACCTTAGACAGGCCACTCTTTCTCAGCCTGCCCTACCTGACAGGGTTGTTGTGAGGATCAAGTGAGGAAGAGGAGGAGAATCATGCAAAATGCCTTGAGCTCATGGAAATAAAAGTAGAATATAAATGTAGCCAATGACGTATATAAGTAAATAGACATCAAGCCACGAAGGACAATACCTCTGAGCACATGCAGAGCACATTTGCCTCATCAATGCACCACAGCATTTCCTTCCAAGGTAAAGGGTGAGCCTCTTATTATTTTAAGAAAACATGAGAAGAACCTTGCAGGATGAGACCGAAGGGCCATCTAGTACCGTTGGCGGCTTCTGGGGCTTGTAATCCCAAAACACTTCATGCAATTTTATTTTTAAACATCTGAGCTTTCATTTTAATTCCCCGCTGCTGCTCTGGAGGACTTTGACTGATGTTAAATCGATTTTTCCTTTCCACAATTTCTTTTGCGGAAAAGTGGCATACGCAAACAAATTAAATAACGAAGGGGAAGAGGAGGAAAAAAGATGGCATGCACTTATATATATATATATATATATATTTAAAAGCAATGTCATTTTTCAAGAGCAAGTTATATAGCAAGCAAGTTTTGTTAAGTTGTATGCTTTGATCTGTGTTCATGGCAAAGGATAGGCAACTCTGGTGATAGACTGTCAAAATTTCCATATCCACAAAAGCAGAAAAAACAAAGCTTGGAAGCAGACAGAAGTCCAATTCAGATTTATTTTTTTAACAAAAAATGAACATTGTTGTTATTGTTGTTGTTGTTGTTGTTGTGTGCCTTCAGTCCTTATGATGATCCTAAGGCCACCCAATCATGGGGTTTTCTTGGCAAGAGTCGTTCAGAGGAGGTTTGCCTTTGCCATCCTCTGAGGCTGAGAGAGTGTGACCTGCTCATGGTCACCCAGTGGATTTCCATGGCCAAGCAGGGATTTGAACCCTGGTCCCCAGAGTCTTGGGGTGCATCTACTATAGAAATAATGCAGTTTGGTGCCACTTTAATTGCCACGGCTCCATCCTACAGAATGGTGTAGTTCTGTGAGGCACCGGCACTCCTTGGCAGAGAAGGCTAAGGGCCTTGTAAAACTACAGATCCCAAATAACAGTACTTAAAGTGGTGTCAAACTGCTTTATTTCTACAGTGTAGACGCACTGAGTCCAACACTGAAACTATTAGACCACTTCCAGAGAGAGCTGCAAATGATGTAAAAATGATAATTGCTATTCTTGCAGGTTTCCAGGAATAAGAATTCATCCTCTTCCTCCGCTCTTTGGGTCAGCCAAAAAAGGCAGTCTGAGGTCACAAAACTAGCCCTGGGCCAGACTTTCCCGAAATCTTGATTTATAGGACATCAGCTTCAGGTGACAGCCTTGGTGCATAATGGCAATATAAAGCCACAGAGACCCCAATGAAGCAGCCGCCTTTCTCCAATGGCGCAGCTTTAATTTGCAAAAGGTGAGAGGCGAGATCGTCGTTTCTTGTGGGACTCATCTTTTACGGCTCTGTTAATTCTGAATTTATGCACTCCGCTAAAACCACCTGGAATATAATTGCTAGGGAGAGAGGCCAAGGTATATTTTAAGGCTAACAGTCACTTGTTAAAGAATACTCCATTTAGCCTTCCGTACATAGCAAGCTTCCAAGTATTTCCTAGATACCAGACCCAACTTTTCCTACGGTCATTGGAAGGATTGTACAGCGTGGGGTAAGGGTTTGAGTGTTGGATTATTGACTCAGGATACCAGAGTTCGAATCCTGGCTCAGCCATGGAAACCCACGGGGTGGCCTTGAGTAAGCCACACTCTCTCAGCCTCAGAGGAAGGCAAACCTCATCTGAAGAAATCTTGCCAATAAAAACCTTGAGGTTGCCATAAATCACAAATGACTTGAAGGCACACAACACCAAAAAAAAAACTGTTTTTAACGTTTGTTTAAGGTTTATAATTAACTTTAATGTTTTTCATGTTTAATGCTTTAACTTTACAAACTGTTTAGCTGCTTTTAAAATAACTCTTATGTTTATGTATCTAGAGAGATCTTGTAGCACCTATGAGATTAATTGAAAGAAAGAAGTTGGTAGCATGAGCTTTCCTAGACTCCTTCCTCAGATTAATATTATTATTATTATTATTATTATTATTATTATTATTATTATTATTATTATTATTATTAAAGGTATAGCCATGTTAGTCTGTAGAGAGATCTTGTAGCACCTTTGAGAATTACTGAAAGAAAGACGTTGGCAGCATGAACTTTCCTAGACTTCAGTCTACTTCCTCAGATGCATATTATTATTATTATTATTATTATTATTATTATTATTATTATTATTATTATTATTATTATTATTATTATTATTAGAAGGTATAGCCATGTAGGATCAGTCTGTAGAAAAATCTTGTAGCACCTTTGAGACTCACTGAAAGAAAGAAGTTGGCAGCAGGAGCTTTCCTAGACTTCAGTCTACTTCCTCAAAAGATGCATATAACATATCTTATGTTTATGCTTTTATTCCATATAGTTTGAATTTGTATTGTTTTAAAAGAGCTCGAACCACTACACCAGGCTGCCTCTCTTGTCTTGTTGCCTCTTGTTGCCCATTGTCTGGTATCTCTAACAAATGCACAGACACACATTTGCACCCAGACTTATTATATCCAATGGTTCCCAAACCTTTGGTCCTCCAGGTGCTTTGGACTTCAGCTCCCAGAATCCCCTGCCAGCTTGGTCAATAGTCAGGAATTCTGGGAGCTGACGTCCAAAACATCTGGGAGGAAGCAAAGGTTGGGAATCACTGTATTAAAGTGTGATGTTGTTTTGATCTGCTCCATTAAAGAGCTCCTTTGGTGTGCCTTTTAAAACAAAACCCATGATGGTCTGCCAGTTGTATTCATTGCTTAGGCTGTCATAGGACTAAATGCATCTCCA